AACAACTGCTGTAATCTCTCTTCTTGTTTCTTTTCTCATTCTTCTTGTCTCTTTTCTTGTTTATTTTTCGTTCTTCTTGTTTATTTTCTTTTTCCTCCAAAAACTTCGGTAATCTTTCTTCTTGTTTCTTTTCTTGTTCTTCTTGCTTCTTTTCTTGTTTATTTTCTCATTCTTCTTGTTTCTTTTGCTGTTTTTGTATTGCTGCCCTCAAATCTGCTAAGCTGTAGTTTGATTTGCCGCTTCTCTTCTCGTTTCGTACTTCTTTTTTTTTGTCCCACTCTCTGACACCAATTTGTTACGTATCTGCTTGTTCGTTTTTTAATTTTCCGTAGAAATTCTTTCCGAAAAACTTCAGCAATACATGTCCTTCCTTAAATAAAACTAGTTTATTCTTTTTCAATACAACTTTGTAATACACTTAATTCCCACAGTCTGTTTAACTTAAACAAACGCTATAATTCACAACGAACGATTCACTGCTTGACTCAATTGTCCGTCTCTATCTCTGTATGCAATTCAATTCCTTTGTTGCCGTCACTTCTTGGCGGTCTTATATATATTATAAAAGCATACATCTCGTCTCTTCGTCAATCTTCTAGAAACTCATCACGTGTCACGTGACTTCCGCTGTCGTAATAACGGATTTTCCATAACTCAGCTACACAGATTTCGAAAATAATATTCTTTTTTATCTATCACATAAGATTTTTTACAAATCGGGAAGAAGAAAAACTCTTACTTAGATCAAATTATTATTTCGTTTACCACAATGAACATTTTTTCTATTATGTTTGTTAACACAAATACAAACAAACTGAAGAGAAAGAACATCGATGTCAAACAAACGTGCATCCTCATTCATCCTGATTTTTTTTGTAAATCTACGTCTTTTAATCTCAAAACTATGTATTGTGGTCTTTCTTTTATGTATTGTGTTAGGACATTTTGTGAAAAATCAGTACCTAATCGAGAAAAATGGGTATCATTTTCAGATTCAGCATACTGGAATTACTGTAGAACATGTAAAAATGTCAAGACAATAAAACCATCGCAGGCCTGTGTTATCATCACTTGATGATTTTTTCATCACTTTTTATAACTTGTATAAGACCATTCAGTTTCTGGATATACTTGTTCACTGGCATGATGACTATCTCACCACTACTACCCACATTAACAGATACCTACGCAGTATATTACAGATTGAATCATTCAAAAGCTGTTAAAAGCGGAATTATATCAAACATGTTAGATAAAGCCAAAAGAGGACTGGCATGACCTGTTGGTTAGGGTGCTGGACTCGCAATCTTCGTGTCGCGAGTTCGAATCCCCGTCACACTGAACATGCTCGCCCTTTCTGCCATGGGTACGTTATAATGTTTCAATCAATCCCATTATTTGTTGGTAAAAGAGTAGCTCAAGAGTTGACTAGCTATCTTCCCTCTAGTTTATCACTGCTAAATCAGGGATGGGTAGTGCAAGTAACCCAATGTAGCTTTGCTCGAAATTCAAAATCAACCAATCCAAAATCAGAAAGATTTATGATGAAAACCATGTTGAAAAAGAACTAACCTTCCCAGAGATATTTATCACTATCAAAAACAACGGATACCCTTCCAGTTTTATATTGTTACTTATCTGCTTGTTTGTTTGTTTCTAGTAGAAATTCTATCTGAGGATCTTTAGCGATA